GGTGGACACACCGAGAGTGGAGGCCTCTGTGCCCACCCCCTGCCGCCTTGCTCTCTGCATCTCTTCCGCGCGGCCGTTTCTAGTTACGTCCTTTTATAATAAACTGTTTTGTCTAAAGCAAATGGCTCTCTGAGTTCTGTGCGTTGCTCTAGCGAATTAACTGAACCTACAGAGGGTGTCTTTGCAGCCTCCAATTACAGTCAGTCAAAGCACTAGTGAGAACGTGGGCTTACGACCGGAGTCTGAAAGTGGGGAAGGTGGTCTTGCACCCCACTCTGACCCCACAACTGGGGTGTCTGATACTGCCTCCAGATAGATGGTGTCAGTAATGAGTGGAACTGCAGAACATCCAGCCAGCGTGTCAAAGAATTGGCTACACCCTCCCCTCCACACACAGCTGGGGCTGGGCGCAGATCATCTTCCTAGAGAAGGCTGCTGGGGGCCTGTTCCGATCTGCCATCACTGCAGCAGGGCCTCAAGGGCCGCGGTACCGAAGGCTCCAGAGCAGGAGATGCCGCACCACACCGCCCTCCACTCCAGACCTGCCCCTCCATCGCCATCTGGAATTTGCTGGGCCCTCTGTGACACAGCACCCAAAGGCCCAGCACTCCATGACAATCAGCCACAGTTCCCACATCAGGAATCTGTGATCTGAAGGAACGAGCCTTACAAAGAACCAGGGAGACAGATTACACCTCCAGTCAAGCCAAAACAAATCTTGCCTCTTGTGACTTCAGAAAAGTGCAATTCAAAAACCTTATGAACCTGACATTTTCTTAAAATCATGACTACAGAGTTCATAAGGTCACAGCTTCTTAGACAGCTGAAACAGTGAAAAGGGCGCAAAAACAGATCAAAACTCTCTGCAAGCCTGAGCCGTGAAGAGAACACTCTCGTGTCCTGAGGCGGGACAGGAGCCCCGGGAAGGCGAGCGCCTCTCCTGCCCTCTGACCAGTCACCTGGCCCCCACTTTTATACCTGCTCGACACTGTAAGAGGCTCTCTCCTTGTGGCTGGCTCTCCCTGGTAGAGTCAGAAACCTGCTCCCGAATCTCTCGCATCAGACTTCCAGAATTTCACCCCACAGGCACACCGAGAGCCACTCCCGGGCACACGCGCCAGCACCCACCCCCCCCCCCCCCGCCCGGGGCCCCAGCCAGTGACCTGTCCTCTCCCACCACTGGGTCTTTGTTCCCACAGCGCCTGCCCCTCCCCTTGCTCACTCTTCTCCACCTGGCAAGCTCCTGGCCCTTCCTCAAGCTCCAGCTCATACGCCATCTCCTCTGAGAGACCGTTCACCCAAGCAGAGAGGGGGCTGCTGCTACCTCGGCCCTCCCTGGGTACCTCCTGGCCCCTGGCCCAGCAGCACGGTCACTTCTGAGAGACTCAGCTCTCTAATACACAGACCTTCTCAAGGACAGGAGCTGGCCCTCATTTATTTCCATTTCTCAAGAAAGTAACCCAGTGTGAGACATACAATAGGCATATTCTGTGTGTGTGTGAGGGAGAGAGAAATGAAAGAATTGCTCACCAAACAAAAAGAAATAATAGTTTCCACCTTCTACCAGGTACACTGCCCCCCCCGTCTACCTAACGATGTCGGCCATCCAAAGGCAAGGTCACAGCTGCCGTTCTCCCCTAAAGCAAAGCTTCTGCCAGACCTTTATGACTCCATCCACTGGGCTTTGAAAGGTCCCTCAGAAGACTCAGCCCAAGAAATCTCTCTTCTTCCTATTTCTCTCCAAAATGTTTGACTCCAGACTCCCTCCCCCCCATTCAGTGGGGAAGTGCACCTCAGTAGTCTCAAGGAACACCAGGGCTTTCAACCCGATTAAAACTGGGGCTCTGCAGGCTGCAGGTGCCAGGGAGCAGCACCCATACACTAGAAGAGGTTCAGTGCTGCTGTCCTAGATGCAAACGGTTAACACCTCTGTCGTCAGAAGTGGGTTATAGAAATTATTACCTTTCCTTGTCATTAGTTTTATGAACTTTTCCCAGTGATGAGCTGAATCATCCCCTCATGCAGAAGGGGAATTAAGAAAGATCAATGTGGTGACATCGCAAAAGACAGAGAGCGAGGGCAGGGGGCACATTAAATGTCACACGGCACTCAGCAGGCTGCGCCGAGGCCCCGACCAGGCGACCGCGCGGGGGAGGGGCCAGCTCCCCGCAAGAGGAGGCACGGGGAGAAGCGGGCAACCCAGACCTCCAGTCCTGGGGCAACAGCAGACCCCCAGTCCTCTCACTGTGGGAGACAGATGCGGAAGGGAAATTCTGCACGCTCCCGTCCTTCTTCCTGTGGTCCTCCCCTTATTTTAAATCCAAAACAGGTCTGAAATCATCTCCACTGCAAGCACGTGGTAACCACCCAACCCTAGCGGAAAGTGGCGGCCGCGGCTCTGTGCCTCCTGCCACGAGTGACTTCAGAACAGCACCTGGCACCAGCTTCCCTTTTCCATTCATGTAGCATACCGAACTGGGGGTACACCCCCCCAAACCAGGCTCCTGTGTTGCTTCCCATCTGTGACAGCACCAAGCAGGAGAAACCAACGACAGCCGGCTGACGAGGCGGCACCAGCAGACGGTCAAACCTCAGACAGCAGGGGGCCAGCAGACCAGGCGCACCTGGAGGGCCGAGAGCAGAAGACGCCTCAGCACGGCCTCCTCTCTCAGGGCACACGGAACGTCCCCAGGGAGGGGTTTCGCCGAGCCGGGCTGCTGTGGTCACAGGCAGGGAGAGGAGACGGGGTTTCGGCAGAGGGAGCCAGGCGCTGGATGGCGGTCCCCCTCCACCACACGGTTGGAAACGGGTAAGTTCCCGAAAGGAAGCAGAGGCTGCAACTGCATAGTTGGTTGTTCAATGCTCACAAAGCGGGAATGCCCCAGATGTAGTCAAAATGAAGGACATCACCTACCCCACTATGCACTAGAAGTTGGGAGGAAAATAATCAGGGAGGAATATACCTTCTTGGGCCGCCTGGTGGCACAAGGGGGGTGGAGCGCAGCACTAGCCTGTGTGATCACTGCAGCACAAGTTCCATCCCGGGCCAGGGAGCTGACCCACTTGGGACGGCAGACCTCTCCTGTCACCCCCAGGGGCTCCCCTCAGCAGTGGATTTCAGTGGATCTGCCTATTCTGCTCCCCACTCTGTCTCTGGTGAATCCTCTTGCCTCCACATCTCTGGCCTGTACCCCAGTGCTTGTATGCATAAATAAGTAAATCTTAAAAAAAAGAAATCCTTCCTTTACTTTCATTAACAAGCCCACACACCTGGAGGCAGAGGTTCTCCTCTGGAATGGGGCTGAGGAGGTGAAACCTGCCTACCCCTCAGAAACTCACTGTGAAACCTCTAAAGCCGCACCCCCGGCCTCACTACTCCCTGCATCAGCCGAGCCGACACCAGCCGGCCGCAGACTTCTAAACGCACAAGTCGCATCACGTCGCGCCCTGCCCTACCAGCTTCTGGAAAGGCTGCCTGAGGCTGTCTTGTGGGTTAACGCCGCGCAGTGTCCACAGCCTGCGGACACAACCTGGCTCCATACCACTCACTTCGCTCCCTACGCCCCATCTCTTCCTGGCCACCCGCCTGTCTCGGCCCAGCTGTCCCCTCGGCCAGGACACCACACATCACGCAAGGCCATGCAGAATTCTCTGCCCACACCAACGCCCCACATTCCCGAGGTACAGCCTGCACCTCCATTTCAGCCCCTGTACGTGGCTGGACCTTCTTCACTTTTCTGGGTTAAAGTCGATCTCCCCGACTGGACTGAAAATTTCCCCAGCGTCACACACTGACACTGTATTTCCCGGAGGCCTCGTTTGGCCAGCATTTCTCATGTGCCTACCACGTACTTTGGGCACTGAGCAGAGGCCGCTGCTCCCAGGAGGACCGTCCAAAGCGGCAGCCTCCCATCGTCTCCACCTTCCTTCTGTGGAGCACGGCGTGCCGCAGGCCACCCACCAAAGGCCAGGCAAGGTGCCTGCCCCCCCACCCCCCGGCCCCAAAGCCTCTGCTCAGGGGCTGCCGACTGCCCTTCCTCGCGTCAGTCCTGGCCCTCCCCAATGTAAGTGGCTGGCAAAGAGCCTGCTCCAGTCAGCAGGCCCTCCCTGTCCCCTCTACCAAGGAGTGGTCTAACCATGGGGCCCTGTGCACTTGAGGCCCATGATGGAAAAGGATGTCCACTCGGAGCTCCTGGGAACGAGGTGCCTGACGACCGAGCCAACACAGCTGCTCTTCTGCCGGGCATTGCCTGTCTGCATGAGACCCGAGCAGGAACAGCCGTGGCTTAACTGCGGGGACAGCCAGGCGGGGCTGCACGGCACCCTGAGGAACTCAGCATAAGGAGAAGAGCCAGTGTCCCTGGAGACACTCATGAGCTGCTGATCGGTCAGCCGTGGCGCACCTGGGGCCTTGCGCTCTGAAGCCTTCTCCTACCGCAGGAAGAATCCTAAGTAATAGCCTTCCGTCAGGTAAATGCAGAAACAGCAGCAACAGCACTCCCAGGATCTGCCAGACACACGCTAAGCCCTGGACAGGTATCCACTCCTCCCATCCCTCAGGTAACCCTACGTGCAAACGTCAGGATCCCTGACCAAGATCCCAGAGGTTCAGAGATGCACCCAGCTGGTAAGTAAGGACCTAGAATTCGCACCCAAACTGCCTGACTCTCTGTCTGGTTTGCCACATGGCCTCAAGTCCCCAGTTCTCCCTTCACACCCTCCCGGCACACGTTCCACCACCGCACACTCAGGGAAGGAGCAGAGCATTGACCACCAGCCCCTCAGTGTACAGGCCGGAGGTCTGCAAAGACTAAGCACAGGAGCGAGGCAACGAAGCCAGTCAGGGACAGAGCCAGGCTCGAAGGCCACGGTCTGGAGAAAGACCCTTTCCGAGGGGCGGCCCCATCCCCACGGTGAGGCCCTGGACAGAGGGGTCCAGGACCCAGGTCTGCTTCCCAGTGCTGCCGGCACACGCCCTGCTCCTGGAGAGCCGCACTCACCAGCTGGGCCGCCTTCAGCTTCTCCTGGTCAGCGCAGCCCTCGCTGCTCTGCAGGGACTCACTCCAGTGCTTCCTGGCTGCCTCTCTTTCCCTCCTTGCCACCTGGAACAGCTCTTCCTGGAATGTGGCCTGCTCCTGTTTATACCTGTGCCAGAGGGAGGCGGGAGAAACAGATGCAGACGTGAGGGTGGCGAACGGCCGTGCAGGGAAGGTTTGCATGCTCACTTCAGCAGGCCAGGCGACCCTAGCTGAGAAACCCCATGCTCCTTATGCGCCCTCGAAGTCAGGCGTCAGTGACAGCCCCCGGAGCGAGGGGGACTAGGGACACTTTCTCTGCCAGGATAGCATATAATAGGACGAGACCTGTTCAGACCGCGAGTAAGGAGTCAGGCAGCCACAGGCCAAGGAGGACCGTCAGGGCAGGAGCTGGATCCCAGGCCAACCACTCCTACCAGTGGGTCAGCAGGGTGGAACCCCGGTGCCCCAACCTCCATTTGAGAGCTTGAAAGGTGTTGTGAGTAGCAGCCCTGTGTTTTGAACATTTAACTTTCATCCTGAATGTGTTTCTACCCTTTGATCTACTCCTGGTCTTGTCAAATAATCCTAAAGAGAGAAAAAAGTTGTTAGTACTAAGATGCTCTTAGTGATAATATTTGTTATAGTGTAAAAAAATGCAAGCAACTCAAGTGTCCAGCAAACAAGGCCATATCAAAGAAACCAGGATTTATCGCATCGCCATTTGAAAGTGTATTCTTTGACTCAGCTACAGGTTGAATCTGAAAATTGAAGCCCAGTAATAAGTAATACATTTAGCAATATAAAATGTTTATTAAGCAGGTGCACGAAGCAGAAAATAATACAAGACTAAGTGAAATAGCAAGATAGAGTTCTACATAGCTTTGCACAAGTAACCCTAAACTAGGGAGAGAAGACATCTGAAAAAAAAAACACTCCCAGATGCTAATGGTGGTTATTGTGAGAAGAGTCTACTGATTTTTTCATTTATGAATTTTCTAAGCCTTTCATGAGTATAATACCTGAACATTTTTTAAATGTTCAAAAGCACAAAGAAAAAGATTCGGGACAGCTATTCTTACGGTGCCACTTAGGGTTAGGGAAGGGGAATCCTGGGAATTAATCCATGACTGTGGAACAGACCAGCGGGGCTGGCCCACTGCCGGAAGCACCAGGAGCTAACTCAAGGGCTCCTTGGACTGTCCAGAGGTCAATGTCCTCAGGGATGTTGAAGAAGTCAACCACGTGCAGGCTCTACGCTCAGTGCTTGCGTGAGACGATACCCCGAGAGCGGGGTACTCCAGCGTGCCTTTCCCAGAGGGCTAGAGAGGGGCAGTGACTTCCCAGGGTCACATCGCTACTAAGCCACAGGCTCAGCTGCAGCCTGCAGTCCCCGGGAAGGATTAGCCACTCAACCACACTAAGGGGGCGCAGTACAGACACTGGGGCCAACACTTCCGGTGGTGGCGTGTCTGATGGGAAGTCACCCAGGTCCTGGCGCTCCTGCGAAGTATGCACACGCTTCTTCCTAGCGCCATGCCGCTCCTGCACACTGCACAGATGCTCCAGCTACTCATCTACTTAGTGCTCCCTAGCATTGGAAAGTGAATTTTTAAGAACATCAGCCATCAACTCTCCCACCTGTCTTCTGGGCCTCCTCATGGTTAAATTAAGACCAGCACCACGGGTACCTTAGGGCTCTGAGGCAGCATAAAAAGGAGGGAGACACACCCTCAGGCCATCAGCACAGTGGCGGCAGCACCAGCAGGCACTCACACTCACCTCCTGAGGAGATCCTCCGGCCCCAGGGGCTGCTGGTCTCCACTGTGATCCGACTTGGGCTTTTTGGCATCTGCAAAGTTAGAGAGAGTTGTCAACAGCACCCCAGGATCAACAAAGTCACAGTGGTCACCCAGGAAAGGGCTCGAGAGTGCACCCCACAGACAGTGCCCTGCAGGGGGAGGAGGAGGCCAATAGGCCCCTGGCGCCCTAGTCCTGCCCTGGGATGCCTGCAGCAGGCAGAGTCCCAGAGCACAGTGCTCCCTGTCACCCACGCTCCACACCAGGACCCGTCATCTGCCGTGCTCAGGCCAGCAAGGGCTGTGGAACCGCTCTGCGTGAGCTAAAAGGCAGCCTTGGGGGGGAGGGGTGCAATCTCCTCTTAAAGCTTCTTTCCCTGAGTATCTACAGGCGCGTGGCCAACAGCCCTGTTAAGCTAGACGGCGTAACGCCCATCTAGGCTTCCGGGCTCTTGGGCTGTTGCAGCAGGTCTATCTTTTGACAGCAATAAACTCGAGGGCCTCTGGCAAACCCAGTTCCCTCGGCACTGCTCGGTCATGCTGGGCTCTGCCTACCCACCCTCCGTCCCTCCCAAAACGCCTTTGGGCCCAAGTGGCACACTTTTCTGTGGCCTGGTATCAACCCCTCCTATATCCACCCTAGTGGTTAGGACGACACAAGGTGTTACAGAAGAACCAGGCGCAGTGAAATAGTCAGTGACGTCTGCTATTGACTCCCAAGACCTTTCGAAGGCGCTCAATTCTCAGGGAGGCAGCGCAAAGTGACCGGCCTGCGACTCCAGACCAGAAGGACACCCGGCGCGGCTCCAGCCACCAGCAGGGCACAGCTGAGTGCTCCTGCGAACCAGCCAGGCCTCAGCTGGGGAGGAGAGAAAGGGCCTTCCTGCCCCTGGGCTTTATTTTGTCGCTCAAGTTCCCTGTTCTTATTTATTTACTTCCAATGTCTTTATGGAGGCAGGATTTATGTGGCTTTTAATAGAATTTTCCCGTTTTATAACCACAAATTCTGTCTGTTGTGCACCGTGGCTCTAATCCCTGCCCCACCTGCCCATGCCCGGCCCCGGCTGCCTCGCTCATTCATTCACTGCGTCCTTAATCATGAGTGAAGTGGAGACTTAGCGCAGGTCCGTGCCCACTTGGACACCTTTTCTACTGAGCTGTCGTCAAGACCTTTAAGAGCTCCTTATATGACACAGCTAAGATTCTGCCATGTTATACTGTAGGCTGCTGCTTCAAAGTTCAGGTACCCACGATATGAAATATCAGGTCAACCATGGTATGAAAATATCAGGTACAGGAAGATACTGAGAAACAGAGAGGAAGAGGAAGACCACGTTCGCATAACTCTTATTGCAGTAACTGCTCTAAGTGTGCTATTCCATGAGGAGTTTCTGCTGTTACTCTCTCCTGATCCTAGGAGATCAACAAACGTGCCCATAGGGGAGAACTGTGTGTAGGGTCGGGAGCCCGAGTCCCGGCATCCACTAGGGGTCTTGGAACGGACCCCCGGCAGTTAAAGGGAAGCCACGATGCTCCTTTAGTTTGTCATTCAAGATTCATTTTTTTTTTCTAAATCAAATCTAATTGCTCATATTTGCCCCTTTTCTTCCTCATGTAATGTTTCTCACTTGATGGGGTGCTTAAAAAGTCGACCTGGTATCGTACTCTTATGGCTTCCATTCTTACATTGAGGTCTTTATTTTCTCTATATTTATTTTGGTATGGTGTGACATAAGGAATTCATTTTAACTTCTTTTTCTAATCTTGTTCCATCTCTAAAATAAAAGCAAAAACTGACTTTAAAAGTAAAGTCTCTTAAAATTAGTCAACTTCAAGACAGTCCATTTATGCTGCGTGTTCTTCAGCATTAAGCAACTCAAATTCACACTCAGCCTTTAAAGAGCAAAGCATTTTATTATAACGAAAACCAAATGGCAAATGAACTGCTATTCTGACTTAAGCTGTTGAAACTTAACCAAACTGAAACAAATGCTTCTTTTATCTTTCAAAGCTCACAATGATACATGCATAATATATTTTGGCTTATTTTTACTTTTTCATCATTTTCTCCCTCTCACTAGTTAGTTAATCCAGTTTATTTAAGTGGACTAGACCCTTCTCACCAGCTGGCTGGACATGCCAGGGGGACGTCAGCCTTCTGGCTCAGGAAGAGGAAGTCTTACATAGGGTTTAAGAACACCACTCGGCCCCTTGGTAGATATTCAAAGAGATCTGCGGCTGATCCAAATCAAACGCTGTTTGCTCTATTGCTCGGGGAAGGCCTGGGGCCGGAGATGCACGGGTAGAGGTGTAAGGAAGCTGAAGGCATAAGACATGTCCACTCAGACCTTACCGAGAGCTAGCCAGCGACCAGGCTACGTGCCCGGGGCTGGGGCACAGCTTTTCTGATGCACCCAGCTCTAGTTAAGGGGCCCGATGCGTGGAATGGAGCCAGGAGCCAGGGCGTTATGGCGCGGCACAGAAGTCCCCATGACTGGGCCTGAGCACCACATGCCACCTCCCTTCCCACTACTCCGAGATAGCAAACCACTTCCAAGCCCCCAAACAGCCAGGCTGCGCCTCGTGTCTAGCCTCGGCTCTGCTGTTCACCACAGCCTAAACCCAGTTCAAAAGTCACGGCCCCTTCAAGCCATGAAATAATGAGGCACCCTCTCCTCCTTGCTACCCTGGACCTTGGGCATGCTGCTGGCACTGCATCGTCACACTACACCCTAAGCTACAATGGACACCTCGGGCCCTCAAGTAGAGCTGGATGCATTAAAAAGGCTGTACCCCAGCACTGGGCACATGGCCTGGTCACTGGCTAGCATTCGGTAAGGGCTGAATGGACACAGCTTCTGCCTTGGGCAGTCTTCTGCCTAAGAGGAAATGGCAACAGAAAAGACAACTCAAACGTGAGACCACACACAAGATGAGCAATGTCATGAATGGTCACCTGCCAGCCACCTCCACGGTGGCATGGTGCCTCCAGACAATCAATGAGGAAAAAATGCAAGTTACAGGTTTAACACAAACCCAGATTCTCATACACAGCATCTGTCAAGTGGAACAGCAGCTGTTCCAAGGAGCTTTCCATGTGTAATATCACATTTTTGTTCCTTGGTGTTTGCTCACATAAAGGAGAAACACGCAGTTTCATCATTTGCAATGGATACAACAGAAGAGGGAACGAAGCTCCTGCAGGTGCAGGGCGGTAGGAACTTCTAGAAGCCTAGGAGCCACGCCAGGACACCTCGAGTTTCATGCCTAAGGTAGCAACGCAATCCCCTGCCTGGCTCAGTTCATCGACTCTGCAATCGTTCTACGGGACACACCAAATAGCAACAGTGATTACGTGTCTGCTAGGGTTCCTTAAAAGCCAAACCCTTTCCCTTAATTTTTGACATCTAGAGAAACTGAGACAGAGCGAAGGCTTTTTTCCCTCACTGGTCCTGGCTACAGAAGCTGGACCTGACCTATGCTGTTTGCATTGTAGAAGACAGTGTCCACCAGGCTTGGGGAGCCCTGCTCTCCTGGGAGACAGTTCTCAGAGAGGAGCTGCTCATATCACCCCAAAACAGAGGGAACCCCGTTACTGCCTAAAGGCTCCGTCACGACCACCGCCCCCTTTCCTCTCACACTCCAGACTCGCACACCCCGCCATACCTTTCTCTGGGCCTTTCGAGGTGCCAAATGAAGGAGGAGGAATTGGCTGCCCCACTTTGGAGGGCTGGCTGGGATCCTTCATGCGGTTAACCACATTTTCAGACAGCTGAGGGAAAAATTGAGAGAGAAGTTACATCGCAGACACCTCTGGAAATGAAAACCCTTTACCTTGCCCCAGACTAACTGGGCACACCTTCCTTAAGATCAACTCCAGTGACCAGAAGTGTAGTCTGGTGGTGTGCAACACCCACCAGATACGTACCAACCTGTCTGGATTCTAGGCTGATCAGGGCCAACCCCACCGCCCCACCCCCACCCCCTCACACTTTCCATTTCATCTTCTACTGCTCCCCCGGTGCATGGGGCCCAAATTTACCTCCTGTGAGTCTAGTATGCTGCTTCTCTGTGGAGATGTACGCCAGGGCCCCCACCCTGGGACATTGCCACCTCTCGGAATCATGTCCAAGTTCCATTACTTCCCTCCCTTTACACTCCCACCAGAACAAGAGTGTCTCTTGGGGAAGGACCCCATGGCCTACCAGTGGCTTGTAAATACCTGAAGCTACCTCCCACTTACCTCCGTGTACCCCCCAGTGCCACCCACAAAAGGGGCCATCACAATGCCGCTCGACTCACTCCACCTTAGCTCCCCCTGACAGAAACTGGCTAACCAAAGCTTCCGTTCATTTGAGAGGAAGTGAAATAGGCATGAGGGTGTCATAAAACAGTTTACTGAAATGAAATAGCAAGCTAGGGATAAATCCAGCATAAAAACCCTGAAGAGTTCACTTCAGTAAATATTTATTAAATGCCTAATATGTGCAAGGCATCATAAAGCACAGCTGAAAGGAAGACGTTAAAAATGACTTTAAGACAAAAGCCACGATCAGCAACTCTACTTTTCCAGGTATCCAGCCGAGAAAAGTGCTCCCACACGTACAGAGCAGCATCAGAATAGGGAAAAAAGAGGAAGCAACATAAATATGCAACAATGGGGGCTGGTTAGGGGCCTGATGGAGGAAATATTCCGTGAGCTATTACGGACCCATGAAGACAGACTGAAGTCAAGTCATGGACGCATCTTCACAGGAGCGAGCACAGGACACATTGCTGATTTTTAAAGTCACAGAAGGCTCCATTTTGCAAAACACATACATAGTTATAAAACTGCAGACATATAAATGTAGCTCAAATGTTCATGTACACAGACACAGATGTGAACTGCGCTGGAGTCTACACGTGTTCTTGCATGGCCTGTGTGTGTCTAGTCTACATCCATACCCCCACCATGGTGAGGTCCCTCGAGTTGGGGCAGGAACACCTGGATCTCCTCCCACTTCTTACATCTGTGCTTAATTATTTTTACCATGAGCATTTCCTTGGTAACTAACAATTTTAATAATAATAACTGAGTCCCTCTAGTAGTGTAGATCAAATAGCTAATCAATAAGATGAGAGAAGACTAAGCATATAGAGCAGTGGAAGGGAACTAAGGCTCCAGAAATAAGCCTGTAGGTGTGTGTGTGTACAGACAGATCAATCAATTTACCGCTGGTATCACCAGCGCGCCAGGATTGATGGTTAATTGACAGAGGTGCCAAAACAATTTGGTGGGAAAAAAATAGTTTCTGCAACATATGACGTTGGTGCAACAGTTGGGTTTCCAAATGCCAAAGATTGAAATTTGAGGCCAAGCTCACCTGCTATATAAAACCAGAGCTGCATGTCAGAGCTAGAACAATGAAACTCTTAGAAGAAATGTAAGGGTAAATCTTTACAGCCTTGGCTTTGGCAGTATATTCATAGATAGGTTACCAAAAGCACAAGCAACCAAAGAAAACCCAGAGAGATTAGACTCCATCAAAGTAAAAAGGGTTTGTGTATCAAAGAACACAATCAAGCAAATGAAAAGGGAGAAAATATTTGCCAATCATAGCCAATAAGGAATACGCATCTAGAATAAAGAACTCATACAAATAACCCAATTAAAAAGTGGGGAAAAGGTCCCTCCCTGGTGGCACAGCGGGTTAAAGCACAGCACTTAGAACCTAAAGCCAATTTAGCGTGAGTTCCAACCCTGCCTGCCCTGGAGGTGACCCACATGGCGCGACAGACCTCTCCTGACCCGGCCCGCTGCTCCCCTCAGCGGTGTACTTCGTCGATCTGCCTGGTCTGCTCCCCACTCTGTCTCTGGTGAATCCTCACCGCCCCTGCACCTCTGGCCTGTACCCCAGTTCTGCGTGCAGGAATAAATAAGTCTTAAAAAAGAAAAAAGTAGGTAAAAGATGTGAATAGATATTTCTCCAAAGAAGATATAGAAATGATGACCAATAAGCAATTGAAAAGATACACAATATCATTAATCATGAAAGAAGGGCAAATTCAAACCCCAGTGAAATACCACTTCACACCCACGAGACTGGTTACAATAGTAGCTAGGTAATGAGGAGTGTTGGCAAGGATGTAGAGAATTCAGAACTCTCTACACTGTTGCTAAAACTTTTACAAAGGTACTGTAGCCACTGTGGGAAAGAGTCTGAAAGTTGTTGAGAAAGTTAAACTTACGAATTACCATTTCAACCAGCAATTCCATTCCTGGGTCTACATACATACTCAACAGGAATAAAAACACATCCACACGAAAATGTGTACATGAATGTTCATATCAGCATTCTCCATAATGGCCCAAAAGTGGAAACAACTTATGTTCATCATCTGGTGAATGGACACGGAAAATGTGTCTATGCAATGCAATATTATTCAGCTATAAAAAGGAATGAACTGTTATTGTGCATGCTACTGCAGGGATGCACCTCAAATCACAACGCCAAAAGAAGCCAGACACAAGAGGTTACATGTTCTATAACTTCTCTCACCTGAGATGTGAAAGACAGGAAAATATCTTGGGGGGTGGGGAGGGGTCTCTGGTGGATAAAGAATATTGATAACAGTTGCACTTAACCTTTAAGTATCCTAAAGACCACTGAATTACATATTTTAGATGGACAAATTGTAGGGTAGGTGAATCATATCTCAGTAAAGCTGTTACAAATGAAAATATCCAAAGACAAATGAGAAACCCGGACAGGAAATCACCCCAAAACAGAAAGACCATCCCACGGAAGGTCCATCAGAGAAGATTCTTGCAACAGAAGCAATATTTAGGAGAGGAGCCGCAGCGTCTTGGGGCTTGGGGCTGTGGGGGTGGATCTTACACAGGGCAGAGCAGGCACAGGGGAGAGACACCCAGGCAGGGAGGCCAGGTGCTGGCCGCCCGGAGCTCATTCTGGAAAGTGTGGGTTGTAAGACTGGGCTTGGATGAAGCTGGTGTGGAAAGAGGTTTGGAAGTCAGGAAGAAGAGCTAGAACAATCGTGGGGCTTCGCCAGGGGTTTCGGAGCCAGGAAAGAACATCAGTAGTGTTTTCAGAAGATGAATCATCAGTGTTACAGGGAGCACGCTGGCGTGGGGCGCATTCCCTTGGTCATGAAAGGACAAGAGCCCGCAGCGGTGGTGGCACAGAATGAAAGGCTTTGTCTGGGTCGCCTCGGTGGTGAGAGCAGAGGAGGGTGCCAAGTTAAAGGAGAAAAAGGAATTTCATTGCAAGTGAGTGGAAGAATTTGGGTGAGGACGACAAAAGAAGGAAGACGCTGTTTTGAGAGAGTAGCCAACTCACTTGGTAATAGATCTAAAATCTCAGATTATAAAAGGGCAAGAGCTTTCCAGAGTTCGCTGGCTCCCTTTTTGGACAGCGACAGCACAAGTCTAGGCGCTGGCAAGTGAGGACTCTACAGTGGGCCACAGGCAGGCCCCGCAAAGGGTCGAGGTGGGGTGCCTGGTAGGTGGGAGGCAACGGCGGAATGTTCTCCCAGTGGGTGGGACACAGAGCTGCCCTCAAAGGTGAACACAGCGGCATGGAAAGATGCTGGAGTGGGGTGGTGAGAGCGGATTCTTTCACTTTCAAGGATTTTGCAGGCTGGGTGACTTCACGGCAGTGGACTGAAATAGACCCTGGGAGGAAATGTAGTGAATTGGGGCACTTTTCGGGGTGCTGAGCAGGCGTTACACATTTACTGGTACACACAAGGCGCTATTCCCCTTTTTACCCCCCCGCCAAGTGGAATCCATTGAGGGGCACCAGTCTTCTGAGGGCAGGGGCACGATCCCCAGAGGTCAGCACAGGCCCACAACGCATGAGAGTGGGGGCAGGGCACTGAGGACACGTGTGAGGTGCCTGAATGAGATGGACCACGGACCAGCCAATGGGGCGTCGGCACAGAGAAAGGCTGCAGCCAGAAGGGGGCAGAGGAAACGGCCTGGCCAAGAATGGGGTGACAGCCACCCCTCTCCCTTCATCAAGTATTTGTTTACAATGCACCCGCTGGGGGGTGGCCACCTTCCAGGGCTGTGGTGAGTGAAACCACAGCCTGCAGGAGCTACATCCTGCCGAGAGCTGGGCGACCATAAACAAGTGAACGAACCACCTCAGCTACCCCGTTTCATCCTACCTGTGACGCCATCATCAAATCACATCATTGCTTTTATATCAGCTGAGGACAAAAAAAAATCACGAAATGAACATTCCACTTCCTGAGCGTCGCTCCTATCTCAGAGCTGTTAAAAGGTATTTGTTCAAAGTCGGTGGGTGTGTTACTGACAAGCAGCGGGACGGGAGACCGCGCACTGGGACCGTGGCATCACAGGGGGCGGGGGGAGCCCCGGGCATGGGCAGAACCTCTCGGAGGGGGCCGTTCCCTTGAATGAGGAGGCCCCGAGCGTGCCCATGTTGCTGGATCCAGGAGAAAAACGTCTAGTTGCAAGCAGAGGGGAACATAAGTGCAATGTCTTCGAGAAGACTGTGTCTGGCATGTCCAAGGGCCTGACAGAAGGCCACTGTGTGGGAAGAAGACCGAGACCAGCTGAGCAGGCCCGAGAGGCAGGCGAAGGCAAGGCCGCAAGCCCTGGCAGGCCAAGGTAAGAAGTCCAACTTGATCCAAGGTGAGGGCCGGCGAGGTGCAGTCTACACCGGTGAGTCACGGGCCCTGGTTCCCCAGCCCCAGCCTGGGGGGGCTCCGTCTGAACCACACTGCTCGGTGAGCAAGGGGTTA